TAGTGGGAATATCCTGGTGAGAGATAAGAGATTCTTGGCCTTTCTGATGTCTATGACACTATTAACCTGAAATCAAGGTACAATTGATAGCATTCCTCAGTATCAAGGTGCCAATGTGCATGAAACATTAGCAAAACTTAGTGGCCCAATAGGAGAGGCAACTTGTTGAATCTACAGGGTCAATACTAGGTTGTAAATTTTGGATGATCCTACTTTGCATCATAAATAAGTCATTGGAATTGTCCATTATCTGCATAATAGTGTAAATGCAACATTTTCAATCACAGAATCATCTAAAAAGGCTCAACCCCCTTTTATTTGTTGTGTCTTCCCTTTATAAATTGTAGACATGGCATACTTATTAAAGACAATCTTTTTTTTTTTACTTTTTTTATTTTTTATTTTATTATTTTATTTTTCAATCTGATGAAAGTTCTGAATCTTATTTTTTCAAATAATTACTTCCACCTATAATTGTTCTCTGATGTTATTATCCATGATGTAAGATTTATTTCAAATGATTCATACCCCAAACAAAATCTTAAAAAATGATTTTGCTGAAGATTCAATTAAACGTACACTTGGCCCTTGAATTAACTGTGGTGAATTTGCGGGAAACTGCTTGCCGAGGGCTTGTGCATCCCTGGAGATTAGTCGGGCTTTGATCCGGACATCCTAGAGCCAATCAAAAAACAAAAAATTAAACGTACACTTGGGGAATTTTAGCATGCTGGGTTTCTATCCAAATTCAGATTGGCTGAAGAACATTTATATCTAATCTACTGTCAATGTTGCAATGCCAACAAATTCAACCTAGCTTCACTGTCTCTAATAAGGTTTTCTTGTGATGTACAATAGGAATTCGTGGGATCAAGACATTTAATGTTTGTTCCTAGGTAAGCTAGATTGGTACCAAAGTCCTTACTATTAATGTGGCTACCTCAAGCAGGTTGTTTGCAGTAGCCTACCAGGCTATTTTGTCATGAAGTAGCCTTCATTAGCTCTTAAGTGGACCCCGGTCAGACGGGCTGCAATTTTCCTTTTAAAATTATGCAGTGTATGAATGAAATCGGTCTGCATGTATTAGTTGAAGTAAAGGAGGGTAAATCCTTGGAGGGGTATAGGTAAGACTTCTTTTCCCTTCATTTCTCTTTCTATTTCTCTTCTTTTTAAAGTACTTCCTTCAATTCTCTCTCAAATCTTCTATCAAATTTGTCTCTCCCACTAATGCCCTTGCAAACAGTCCCTATCTTGGTTTCCAAGGTTGTCCTACATCAACATTAAAAATTCACTATTCTTCGAATTCTATTTCTAAAAATGCAGGAGCTTCATATATTTGGGACATTATTCAACAAATATTTCAAAACATTTGTAGATGGAAATAAAGGCATACTTCAATAGGCTCATATTGACATTGTGAGCAGCATTAAGAGTTCCACAAAGTCACTTGCAACAAACATTCAAGGCTCTCAAAATAATCAACTAAGTGTTCATGATTGTTGCAAGAACTATTTTTGCATAAGACTAAGTATATGTTAATAAGCGTGTTGCTATTCTAGTGATACTAGTATACATGCAGACTCCAACTGCCGCAACTTCTTAATTATCTTCTTCACCTCGGCCCCAATCTCAACTCTCATCCCCATCAACATCTCTAACAAACGGAAAGAATTCAGCACATAGTACCCAACCACCGTGTTCAAAACTGGCACCAGCACAGGCACCGGCACGTCCTACAAGCACCGCAATGCATCCGGCAACTCAGCCATGATTACCACCCGGTCTCTTGATCACTCCACTATGTACCTTTTCAAACCCAACTCATCCACTTAAATAAAGTTCATGCGATCTTAGAGTTTCTGAATTGGTAAGCCAACCAAAATTCACTATTCTCATAGGTTGCACATCTAGTACATTCAACTCAACAAAAATTCATGTATCCATCTATTGCCTAAAAGTATTAAAATTACTTCTAAAAACACTCAAACACCCGCCCTTACAATTACATTCTACATCTTTCTGATGGAATTCACCATAATTGCATGTGCTTTTCTAAGCAATAAATGCATCCTAGTTGGCCATGGTTTCAAACTTAAACTAAGGTACCTCCAAAACCATCAACGTAATAGGATTTAGTAAACTCATTTTAATACTTGGAAAAGGCCAAACAAAAAACTTCGCCGAATGTGTCTACACTTAGAAAATACAACCATCATTATGGTTGCAATTTAAAACATAAGCCAAGTTACACATTAAATTGAGAATGTCACATGAGAATGCAATCCTGTACTTGCTTTTGATGCCACTTCTATGTCCCATTAATCCTATTGGTGCATTTAGATGACATGGATAACAACATTAATTATTGTTTTATTTTTAATATTAGATAGTTATTATCCATAATAAGTAATAAAGCTAAACAACAAACAATCCCCTAATCTATTATGACGACTCCATAAATATAATGCTCAATTAGAAAATCAAAATAAAAAGGGAACCACTATTCCCACTCCACTTTGCTTTAAATACACTCCATTCTTTGTCCTTATTATACATAATTACATTAACAACCTTTCACACAAAATACACTCCCTGAAAAAATCAAAATTCCAAGGTTATTAATATAACTATGTATAATAAGAATAAAAAATGGAGTGTATTTGGAGCAAAGTGGAGTGAGAATAACGGCTCCCAATAAAAATTCAATTTAATAGGTAACCCTTACCTAACCTTTCATTTTTATTTATTTTTTTTAATTAAGAGTCCTTCCTAAATATACAACACTCAATTAAAATAATTAAATATAAAAAAAATATCAAAACTAAGAATCCTTTCGAAGAATAATGATTTTTTGTTCATTCCTACCAGATCCCAGCAATGAATTGTGCATTCATTGCTCTAATAAAAAAGTTAAAAAAATGAACTGTGTATGTCCATACTTGGAAACAGTGAGATTGAAAATCATATTGCACGAAAAATTTAAATTATTAAAATGACGAAGTATCCAATAAACAACTTCATCAAAACAACCATAACTTGAGGTCATACAAAAACAAAACATCAAAAACAATAACAAAAAAAAAAAAAACATTTGTTTTAATACAAGTTTAGAATAGATTTTAGCCCCGTTTGCCAGCACTTATAACTCAACTCCTATAACTTTTTTGCTTAAAAAATAAATAAATAAATAGAGACAAGAGAAGAATTTATATAATGGTGTTTGGCTGCAATTGTAAATTATAGCTTATTTGACTTTTTCATCTTATTGACGGGAAAAAAAAATTTTAACTTATAGTTTTAGATTTTTTAACTTTATTTGAAATCTTAAATATATATAAACAAAAGAGCTTCATCTCTTTTTGTCTTAACTATAATTACTTTTCAGGACATTCTAGATATTTGCAAACAAAAAAGTTAAGTTCCATTACATCTTATTTGACCAATTAGGTTCAACTTTTTTCACAGAATTATCAAAAGTCACACCAAATATATTTACAATTTATTTTAGTTTTTTTAAGCTAATAATTTAAAAAGCTATAATCATAAAAGTTAAATTTATAAATGATATCAAACGGGATCTTTGTAGTACAAAAAGAAAGAGGCTGACAAGGAAGATAAAAAATAAATAAATATCAAACGTCTAAGGTTGCTAATTGAAGGGATGCATTTTAATTTAGGTACGATTCTTAGTTTTAATTTTTTTTTTAAATTTTAATTGAGTGTATTATATATAGGAAGGACTCTTAATTAAAAAATAAAAAATAAAAAATAAAAAATGAAAGATTAATAGGGAGAAACACGTAAAACGTTAGGTAAGAGTTTCCTCTTAAATTGAATTTTTATTAGGAGTATTCTTACTTTGATTTTCTAACTGCGCATTATATTTAGGAGGGGCATCTCTTCTTCACGGTTGAGCCATAAACCTAGAGTTTACGGCACCCAACCATCTTTTGCCACTTATATCAGTTTGGTTTAATATTCTCATACAATCTTAAGTTGTCAAGCACTAGATAATTTCCTTACCCTTCTCAGTTTCCCACCCCTCAGTTTCTTCCTTGTCTCCAGCACAATCAACGATGTCAAGTCTGACTAGCAAGATGAATTGAGATGGTTACAGAGAGATTATCTAGTGCTTGAAAAACAATTTCCCCCTCTCTTCCTTTCCATCCAGCATCACCCACCCACACTAACACCATTCTCCTTTGCAACCTCCAACCACCGAAATTTCTACAATAATCAAGGTCATTGTTGCCACAGTCCAGTCAACAATGGCCACAATTGACATGGTTGCGAGCCATATAGAAACCCAATCATATTGTGTTGTTTGTAAAAAGACCTGTCAATTAATGAAGTTCCCCACAATTCTGCACCATGAATTGCTGACTGATAGTAAGAATTTTTTCGAGTTGAATGGAGTCCAAAATGAGCAAATCAAACAAGAAATGATGAGGAGGCTGTATAGGGTTAGCCATAGAGGTTGCATGGCGGTGGGCTTGTTGTTTGGAGACTCTCAGGAAGAAGCAAAGGATGGGCGGTGCGAGAGGTGGCTGGGGGAAAGACGGGGGCGGTAGTTGGCTGCGTGGGCTGGGGATGATTGTCGACTGCGAGGGTTGGGGGAAGAGGGAGGTAGCAGTGGTTGGTTATGTGGCACAGGAAGAGGGAAGGGAACGCAGAGAGAGCATAAGGAAGAGAGAGGGAGAAGGGGAGAGAGGTTATCAGATGAGGGAGGGTGTATGAGACTGGGTGATTTATCTTTGGTGGAACCCAAATTGGTTGATGTGTCTATTTTCAATTGGCTGTCCGTAAACTCAAAGGTTTACGGCTCAGCCACGAAGAAGTTATTCCTATTTAGGTAGGAGTCCTAACAGATAAGGTATTGTTTGCTTTTTAGTTTTATTACCTATTGCTATCCATGTCATCAGAAGGAGGAAGAGGATTTGCAAAATTTTGGACTTGGACTCATAAATCTCAACAGAAACTCAATGGCAAGAACAATAACATAATCATAAAAAAATTATAATAGACACAAACAAGAAAAAATTCAAGAACTAGATGTTTATCTCTAATGAGATGATCCAAAGGTAAAAATACAACTGTTTCTTTACACCAAAAATAGATGCAAAAAACACAAACGCATTAAACATAGATTCACAAACACCCAAATACCATTCTCATCAAACAAAATATGAAAAATTTAAAGCAAACCCTTAATAATATATGTTTCCAATTCTGTTATTTCTTGGTGCTTTTACCTTCAGAGTTGCCACTTCCTGCCCCCTCGGCCGCCTTCTTCGCAGCCTTCTCTTGGAGTGCCTTCCCATCCCTACACATATACATGAATATAAATAAATCTGAACCCTAATTAAGCAACCAATTACTATCAAAACTATTTGAATTTTTGGGGCAAAAAAAAGATAAAAATTGAACCTTTCGCGACGCTGCTCGGGGGTTAATCCATCGTCCTTGCCTTTACCCTTGGCGGTGCCTCGAGCCTGAGCTCTTTCGCGATCACGATCCCTCTGGTTACCACGTTAGATCGAATCAAGGAAAACCCATCTCAAATCGAAACACACACACACACATATATATATATATACATATCTACGTATACATAAACAAACATATTTATATACAATCAAAATTGAGAATTGAGAATTGATTTGATGAATTAGAATGTGAATTTGAATCGGAAACATGAAAAATTGTCGATCAAAAACAAAAATTGAAGAAAAAATTGGTGAAAGTGGAGTAGAAAGAGAAGATTTGAAGGATATGAGTCATCGTGAAGCAGTGGGTTGAAGGCGCCGGCGTAGAAATTTTTTGCAGTGAGGGAGGATTGGGGCGATGTGCGTTGTTGAACTTGGAGACTTGCATTTGAGATTAATTATTATTATTGGTCAAGTGATAGAGAGGGGATAGCTCTGTCAGTTAATCTAGGCCGTTGATCTAAAGGAAAGATTTATGAAGATTATGAAGATTTGAGAAAGAAAGATGATTGGTTGGCTGATTTGGATTACCTGTATTGTAGTGCATGCTAAGGAGAAGTTATTGGTTAGTTGGGTACCACCACATGGTGCTCAATAATATTGTCATTGATAGAGGGACGAGACTCATAAATTTATATTAAATAATTAAGAACCATAAAAAAAAATAGGGCAAATTACATATATCCTTTGAGATTTGACTAAATTATAAATACTCCATGAGGTTTGAGAAATTATAAATTTTCCCTGAATGCTATATTTGCATAATAAATTAAGGAGTAATTTGTTATGAAATTTAAACCTCAAGAAGTAAATTGTTATGAAAATACATACCTTAGAGGCGGGATGCAATTTTCAAAATTTCAAGAAGGTATCTGTAATTTAACCAAACCTCAAAGAAGGTGTATGTAATTTGCCCAAAAAAATATTGATAATAGATATCCACATGGTGCCTTTCGATCCACCAATACTTTTTGCATTCAAGGGTTAAAAGTCAACTGTCAAGAGTTCATAGGAATTTAAAAGTGTGGAACACACCCGTAGGGACCAGCCAGCAAGGATGGAATAGGACTGTTATATGAGAAATGCCTATTTAGGTCAAGTTTGGCTACAAAAAAAAAAAAAGTGCACTTATTTAATCTTTTTATCTTTTTTGGGTCACATCAATCAATATCTCCTCTCTACTTTTTCAACACATAATATAAAAAAAGTCAAAAAGTACACTTATTTAGTCTTTCCAAACAAGGCCTTAATTGATTTTTTTTTTTTATAATAAAAATATATGATAAAAAAAAAAAGAGGGGATGTGTAATGACCTTTTAATTTTTAATTTTTTTTTTTAGTTATATTAGTCAAGAGTATTGTTTCTTTTATATTTTACAATCCAATTTGAAAGAGTATTTTAGATTTAGTGGGCTTATTGTGAGCTCAATCTGAGTGATTTAAATTGTTCACTTTTTAATATTCATTAAGAAGAATATTTATATAAAAACTAAAATAATTGAATTTTAGTAATTATATATTTGAATCATATTTATCTTAAAAAAAATATACAGTAAATATAATTTTCAAAATAATCGTTCATTTTTTAAAAATAAATGTGATTTAACCATACAACTACCGAAGTTGAATCATTTAAATTTTTTATATAAATACAACTCTCAATAAATTTTAAAAAGTAAATAGTTTAACGGGCCCACTGAACCTAAATGCTCTCAAGTTAGATCCCTAAGATGAGATAAACAAACCCAATGCCAAACAAGCTAACACTAATATTAATAATTTATTTTTTTTATTTTTTTATTTTTTTATTTTATGTTTTAAGTTTATTTATTTATTTATTTTTGGTAAAAAAATCATATATTTTATACTGAAAAATTAGATATTACAATGAAATTTATTATATGCCTAAAAGGCAACGTACCTTTCAAGAAAAAGGAAACACTTCTAGCTACTCACCCACAAGATAATCTACTAAATAAATTTAAATAAGTCCAAAACAATACAACATTATTAAACAAATAAATTTTAAATAAAATTAAGTCCAATAAACACTACTAAGACAAGAAAATCAGCCAAGGCTTTCAAACCAGCCCATGGTTTGGGGCGAATGTTTTCACCAAATCCAGCCCATGGTTTTGTGACACCCCAAACGTTAATGATTTTATAAATTCTATTTGTTTAAAATAAAACTCATAAATATGATTTATTTAAATTTAGAATTTATTTGATAATGATTAAATAAATATTTATTTTTCCCATACTTTAGGAGACTTAAAATAACTATTGGTCTCTGATTGGTTATTTTGTGGCCCTCTATTTGTCATGAATCCATTGACCTATGTTCTTATTATCACTCCAGTGACCTCTGTTTTATTCTGTTCTGTTCTATACCATGGTTATGGTTATTGTTTACATGACTTCTGGATTTCAGTTTCTACCACTGAAATAATTTATTTACTCAAATTAAGTTTGTATAATGGTGTAACTTAAATAACTATCTATGGTTATTTTGAGCCCTACGCTCTTGGCATAATATCTCTCACTTTGCTGTGTATTTATAGTTGTTATCTCTTTTAAGTGATGAAATATAAAGAAGGATTATAACCTCGTGTAGTGGGATCAGCATGATGTCGATTTTTTTTTTTCACTTTTTTATAATTGTCTGTTATCGAATTATAAAATAAGAAAAATCCCGATAGATGTATTTCTTTTTATTAAAGTAGTAAGATAAGCAATGAAGTTAATTCTCTCACTTTTATTCCACCTCCGTGTAGACATCCCCGAACGTCCCGGGAGGGAATCCCGTTTTGTTCATTTAGGCTCACTACAGTTTGGACTCAATGTCACGATCCTGTATCTAATCTTGCAGAGTGCAATGCAAGACCGATGAATCATCAAAGAGTCCATGTTCGGCAAATCGTTTTGGAAAACAGATTTTTAGAAAAAAGTGCTAAACATGGACTACTTTGCCAGATACAGAGTCACCACCTAAATATTTTATTTTGGGGGGAATTTTAGAAACCCTGACTCGTTGCCTAAGGCCACGTGTCTGTCATCACCAAAGTTGCCTCGGCTCGGGAACTTGGGTACGATTGGAGAAGGTTAGCTATGAGCACCCCCGCTCGCTCGATCCGAAGATCGGCCTGTACTAAGCATGATATTTTGTTTTGAAAACATATGTGTTTTTATTCCGGTTAATTAGCTAGAATTTACTATGCGATGCGCACAACACACAAGTATAGACTAGATCGCGTAATTTGGAACAAAGCATCGCATATCCGTTTTGTTTGGAAAATGGTTTGAGGTTTGCTATTCGCAAGTAGGCTAAAACACGGGCTTCGACGAATTATTCCAATTCAAGCAACCCAACCTTCACCCACAGGCATTCAGGCAGTTATATCACATAAGCACATAGTCTTATGGTAAGCATGCTATCATGGCAAAACTCACATACATGTAAGATGCTAAAGCATAAATACTCACAGTATACTTCGAGCCAAAAAAGGAATATGTTAGTAATCAAATGTATGATCGAAATCCATGTTAAGATGGCTAATGCATCGCAGGCAAAATGCAATTAGAATAGGTTCGGCTAATCTAAAATGGCATATGAGACGTGACAATTCAACACATGTATTCAACTTGGAATTAAAATACTATACAGTTAGTATGATGCGCCGAGTCCGGTGCATGCAATACAGATGAATGATGCAAACATGCATAGCATAAGGATGCTAATTGAAACGTGCCCTAGAACTAACCATCATAAGCGGTTAAGTAAAAGGGAGAAAGAAATGGTGGTTGGAAGACATGCATCACACGTACGCACGCTTATTACAAAATTGCCCTCTCTCGGAGGGTCCAAATGAATAATACAAATTAATTAACTAACAAGCTAATTAAATATTACAGACCCTTAATTAATTAAATAAATTAATTAAATTACTGAAAGCAGTAAAACAGCCTCGGGAAGAGGAATGAATGCATGCACGCTCGGCTTCGCCCGAAAATCCACCGCCATGCTCATGTTGCCTCTGTTTACACTGCTATGCACCTCTGAGGACTGCACAAGTCTCAAGGTTACTTCTGGACTACTCCCTGAGCACTGCGGGAGGTCACCGACCTAGAGGAAACACCACCGGCCATGGAATTATGGTCATCGACCAAAAATGTAATAACCCACATTTATGTCGTAGTCATGTTCATGAACATTGGTATGATTATGACCCGTTAAGCTTGCATTTGCATAATTATGACTTGTTTTGCCTAAGTAAGACCCATGCCTTGTTTTGATGTCTATGTGATTTGTCTAAGTGTTGTGTGCTTGCTTTGTTCTTTCCTTGGTACCCTGAGCCTAAGTTATGTTTAGCCGAAGTCGTGCCAAGCCTAGGTTATGTTAAGCCTAGATCATTCCTAGCCGAGGTCATCTTCAGTCTAGAAGTATCTTGGAACCCCTTCGTTTGACCTCCACCTTCGCCCTGACATATTGACCGAGATGGCATTATCTAGGCCGAGGTGTGAGTCACCAAGGCCGAGATGTGTATTATCTAGGCCGAGATGTTACCTTTGCACCTAAGCGATCTTGTCTTGGAGTGGTATGACCTAGACCGAGGTGTGGCACATCTAGGCCAAGGTGTGGCACAGCTTAGTCAAGTGTCGTCCTTCCTAGCCGAGGTCATTGTCACCTTAGTTGCCGAAGCTTTGTCCTTAGCCGATGTCACCACTTGCCGGAGTGCCATACCGAGTAGCTTGTTGGATACACTTTGTCATAGTCTTGTCTTGTCAATCTATCACCTTTTTGAGGAGAACCAACCAGCCGTTGCCACGTGTCCGAGCGGAGAGTTAAGTCAGCCGATAGAGAGAGAGAACCTATCATTTTGTTGTATACTTGTTTTGAAGAGGAGAGAGAAGCTCTAGGAGAGGAACAAGAGTTCTTGAGAGAGAGTGGATTTCTAAGCTTGATTCCTAGAGATCGAACCGTTAGATCCGTGTTCTAAGGTTAGATTCTTGATCTGCTCTTGTTGTTCTTTATGTTCATGTTATTGCATTGCATGATTGAATATGATTTGTAAACCATGCATTGCTTTGAAGTTCGGTTTTAGAAAGAGAAAATGGCATTCATGTGTTCTTCAAGAAAAGTCATGTTTTGATCCGAAGGCTCATGCCTAGATCCATGTTTTTGTGTTTGTTTTCCCATGATTTTCGAGTATGGGTACCCAGGTCCATGTTTTCGAACTCATAGCATGAAATCCCAGATTTTTGTTATAAAGAAGTTATGATTTTAGCATCCATGTTCTTCATGATCTTCATGTTCATGTTCTTCCTGTTCTTCACAGGTGGAAACCCAGATCTTCAGACTTCACTTCCCGAGGTGTAGTCGCCGAGATCACTCTCACCTAGACCTCACACTTAGGCCAAGCATCGTATCTCACCTTGGCCTACCTTGCATGATCACTTACACCTTTGGTTGTCT